AAACCTTCTCTTTCCCAGGCTAGACATACCCAACTCAGCCTTTCCTCATAAGACTTGGATTCCAACCCTCTCACCATCCTGGTTGCCCTCCTCTGGATATGCTTGAGCTTGTCAACATCCTTCCTAAAATGTGGTGCCCAAAACTGGACATAGTACTTCAGGTGAGGCCTGACCACAGCAGAATAGAGTAGAACTACCACCTCCCATGACCTGGATACAGTGCTTCTGTTAATGCATCCTAAGATTGCATTAGCTTTCTTTGTAGTCAAATCGCACTGCAGGCTCATGTTTAGCTTGTGATCAACCAGAACACCTAAATCCCTTTCACATGTGCTGCTGTCAAGCCAAGTCCCTCTCATTCTTTGATGTTTTGTACCTAAGTGTAGGACTTTGCACTTCTCTCTATTGAAATTAATTTTATTTCTTTCAGCCCACTGTTCCAGCCTATCTAGATCATTTTGAATCCTGACTCTGTCTTCTTCAAAATTAGGAATCCCACCCAGCTTTATGTAATCTGCAAATTTGATAAGCATCCCCTCTATGACTTCCTCCAGGTCATTTATAAAAACACTGAACAACACCGGGCCTAGCACCAAGCCCTGCGGCACTCCACTCGAGACTTCCCTCCACGTAGACGCAGAGCCATTTACGAGCACTCGTTGGGTACAATTTTTCAACCAACCATGAATCCATCCAACGGTTCCACCATCCAGCCCACACTTAACCAGCTTATCCTCAAGGATATCATGAGAAACTTTGTCAAATGCTTTACTGAAATCGAGACACACTATATCCACAGCATTGCCAGAGTCAACCATTTTAGTGACTGTCAAAAAAGGAGATAAGGTTGGTCTGGCATGACTTATTCTTGATAAACCCATGCTGGCTACTACCAATTAACTAGAGTCGGATTCGACTGGCTTTCGAGCAAGGGAAACCTTTACCTTAAGGCCCTTCACCAGTAGCTGAATAAACCAGGAACAGCTCTATACTAGCAGATACACAGAAATAGCTACCAAATGGATCTCTCTCATAAGCTGTGAGCTAAGCAAGACGAGTGACAAAGGCAATGTCCCCTTGTTTGCTTATGCAGCATTTTGTGGCCATGGTCTCTCTAGCCACCAGCACTACTTTCCTCTCCAGTGTGAGAAGACATACATGACTTGAAAGTAGCTAGGAGCTCCAAGTAGTTAATAAGGCATTGTCTCTCCTGGATGCCCAAGGCTGAATGTTGGGGGGGGGGGGTTATTGTTGTTGTTGGGGTTTGCATATTTTACTCACTTTGGGCCACCAACTCTGCTGTCTCACTATTCTGACTTCCAATTGCAACTCATTTATAATGGAAGAGTATTTTGATTCTCTGAGAGGGCTTCCTTATTCGCTCTCTGACTCTGAATGTTACAGTCACAAAGAAGTATTGCTATGACACTGTGGGGGGGGGGGGGTCAAAGGGCTCTGGCCTTGGAATTCAGTATAAACTGCCTGGAGCTTCTAGTGGTAGGGAAGGCATCATTCATTCCAGTTTTCTTTGGCAAGGTAATTCAGATGGTGATGGACAATGTTCAGTGGGACACTTTTTCTCATGCCTCCTGCACTTTCCCCCCCATGGTACTCTATTTGGTGCTATGCATCTGGTGTATCAGCTAGATACTTATGCTTACATGGCCTTTGCAATGACTAAACTGATACAAATCACATGGAAGGAATACTGGTCACAGTTGCTCCTCAGTCTTCAATATCTAGACCAGGGGTGTCAAAGATGCGGCCCGGGGGCCAGATAAGGCCCCCAGAGGGCTTCTATCAGGCCCACAGAGGAACTGTCTGTCGTCTGCTTCTTCTTTCAGTTCTGCTGCTGCTGTGTCATCATAGGTTTGCAGCTTACAGATAACACACCTGAACAGTATGCTCAAGATTGCAACAGCACAGACATTTTGATGTAATAATTCAGAGCAAGAGGTGTCAGTTATCAGACACTGTTAAATAAACAAAATATTGCAAGAGTGCTGATGTTTTAAGCATGTTTTTATTTTAAGTAAAAAAAACCTTTGTGTTTGTGTCCTTTATAAAGTTTATATCTCTGCTACCTGGCATTACATTTTATGACACATCAGCCCAAAACGGTCTCATTTATGTCAGATCCAGCCCCCATAACAAATGAGTTTGACACCTCTGATCTAGACAGCCTTTCTGTAGTGCAGTTACCTATATATACATCTAGAGCCTGCTGTAGTTTAGGAAAGCTTATGCCATAACAAATCTGTTAAACAATATTCCTTTTTGTTTTCACTCAGAAGTTCAGCAAGATTTACTCAGTAAGAGAGCATAGAATCATAGACTTAATGGCTTATAACAGGCACTCAGGCTGAAAAATTTGTGAGTTTGGCTGGAAATTTAGGTGCTCTTGTCCTCGATTAGAACTTCTAGCAGAGGAGAAATGCTTTGGAATGTTCTGGAGCAGCCGAGCTAAAAGGGTCAAAGCACAAGATTTTAACCACTCAAGTCCTACTGGGGGATGGGGGTCCCACAGAAGTCTAATGCTACAAATTCTTCCTTGAGCATAATGGGCAGACATTTTAAACAAAAAGGAACCCCTAAAAGGCACCACATATCTTCACAACTTTATTGCTGGTATATATATATTGTAATAATCCAGCTTTTGATCAACACTGAGAAACAAAGTCTAAGGCTATTCAGTTAAAACAACAAAGTCCTTGCATTTTCTTTCCTCCAAATATCACATTAATTTCTCACACAGGTAAAGTGATGCTCAAAATCTTACAGCAAAGACTGTTAACATATATGGAATGAGAAATGACAGATGTTCAAGCTGAATTCAGAAAAGGAAGAGGCACCAGCAATCATATTGTAAATTTACATTGGTTACTGGAGCATATGACAGAATTTCAGAAGAAAATCAGCTTGTGTTTCATAGATTACAGCAAAGCTTTTGACTTTGTGGATCATGATAAACTATGGTTGGTTTTAAAGGAAAGGGGTGTGCCACAGCATCTGATTGTTTTGACATACAACCTGCATCCCAGACAAGAGGCTACTGTTGGGATAACACACACAAACACCTACAATGGAAATGGACAACTTATATCTCATCTCCCACACCAAAGCAAATTACTTTATGGGGAGGGGATAACAGAGTAGGGTTAAACCTTTCTTGATTAATCTGTCAAGATATGAAAGGTATCATTATAACATGCAATACACGGTGGAGCAATCTCCCTTATAAATAAAAGCCGAATGGTGGTGGCACTTCTCTAGAACATTCCACACGCTCCAAAATCAGTTCGCTCTCTGATCTGTCATTCAGAGGGTCTCCCTATCCACTGGCTGCTTTGCCTGAGTCCTGCCTCCAACATTCTAAACATTTTGCTGTTCCCCCCCCCCCCATAGCCAGTCAGAACACAGAGGTCATTTGCATATGCAGCCTCATTGGCCTTTGCCTTGGAACACAGAGGTTATTTGCATATGCGACTTGATTGGCTTTTGCCTCTAACATTCTAAACAGCTTGCTGTTCTGAGGTAAAATGTGTCCAATCTCCAGGTGAGGGCTGGAGATCACTCAGAATTACAACTACTTTCCAGATGGCAGAGATCAGTTCCCCTGGAGAAAATGGTGGGCTCTGTATCCTTATATGCTGCTGAGTTGACCCCCGTATGACAGCCAATGTGACGTAGCAGTCAGGGCTTCAGAGCACGGGAGAGGCTGCAGGTGTGTGGGGGGTGGAAAGCTGAAGAGTGAAGGGGACATAAAGGTAGGCTGATGATTGGCTGGGCAGGAGATAGGGTTGCCAACTCCAGGTGGGAAATTCCTGGAGATGTGAGGGATGGAGCCTGGAAAGGGTGAGGTTTCGGAGGCATGGGACCTCAGACAGGTAAAGCCATAGACTCCACCCTCCAAACCAACCATTCCCTTCTGGGGAACCATCATTGCCAATCTCCAGGGGAGGGCTGGAGATCACTCAAAATTACAACTGTTCTTTAGGTAGCAGAGATCAGTTCCTCTGGAGAAAATGGTGGACTCAGTGTCATTATACCCTGCTGAGGTCACCACAGCAAATTGACATTGAGTGTCCAAGGCTGGGGCACCCGCCCAGAGCCTCTTTCTAGAGACCATTGTATTTATTTCCACAATGTGCCTTTTTCCTAGTTAAGTTATAATTACCACATATAAAAGGTATCATGTTGTTCAGGAATAGTCTTTCAGTATGTCCTCTATCCTTAAATAATGATACATCCAACAGTTGTCATGTCTCTGCCTCTTTGTATTTAAACTAGGAATGCTTATGATGAGCCTTCATTGGTGTGGTGGGTGGCATAAGTTTTCACAAAACACACAATTCAAATATTATAGAGGGATATTCAGGAAGAGTATGAAAGGTCAATCACATGATAGGCCAAACTTGCCCATGTCAAGGGGCCATCAAGATATTTATTTTTAAAGTATGTTGGTAATAAACTCCAGTGGCGAAAGCCTTCCACAACATATGCTGGTAATTGATAAAATTTCCACACACATTAATTTGCACCAATTTTACCTTCCTGATTTGTTTTAAGTTGGTAGGGGCATTGCAATGCTATGCAGTTGTTAATGTGAATGCTCTGAAGTAGATAGGCGTGTCTTTTAACAAATCTGACATTCTCTTTCATGGTCGTCGTCCCCCCCCTCCCCACTCCATAGGATCAAACTCGGACACGGACCCCTTTTGTGCCCTAATAACATCACACATCATTTGTGCGGGTAGCTCGCACAGGGTGCTCGTCCATCCAGTATCAGCTCAAAAGCAGCAGACCCTTTATACTTTATAGGCACGCAGAGGAAATGTCGCCGGAGCTTCAAGTTCAGACCGGCGGAACAGTTGACTCCCGCCTGTAATTCCATACAAGTCCGTCGTGCTCTCTCCCCCTGCGGGGTTTGGCTTCTCCCAGCAAGGCCCACCCGCCCTCGCCATTTCATTATTTATTATTTCCTTCCCTTTCTAGGAAAAGTATGCGCTAGGCCGAGGGGCGGGAGGAGGACGAGGCCGCCTGTCTTGAGCCATGGGGGCGGCCCGCGACTGCAGCCAGCACAGGGCGGAGAAGAGAGGACCTGGCTGGCTGGCTGGCTGGCTGGGCGGCCGAGCGCTGCCTGGACCGACCTAGAGCACTGGCGGATCTCCCCCTTCAGCTCTTAAGCTGCTCGAAGGCCGTCGGCGTCGGAGCGCGGACCAAGAGCCATCATGACGGGCAGGTAGGAAACGAAGGCCGCCGGGCCATTGCCTGAGGTTTCGCGTGGCCGCCCACTGGGACTGAGCAGCGGAAACGCTTGCAGTTTTCCGCTCCCGGGACTAGCGAGAAGACTGCCCGGACTGCGGCCTCTACTGGGGAGAGGAGCCCAGCCCGAGCTCGAGCCACTTGGGAGGCGTCCAGGCTTCAGCCCTCTCCTGGCGCGAGGAGGAACGGAATCCTTGGCGCGCCTCTGCGGAATGTGGGACCCGCTCCTGGTGGCGGCAGGCCAGTGAGCTGGCGAATCCTCTCCTGCTGGGGTTGCCCGGTTTGGAGGGGCTCCTTCCCGCCCACCAGCCAGCTGGCACGCGGGGGTGGGGTTCCCCC